AATTAATATATTATGTAGCAACCCTGAGCCACTGCTAAAGCACACAGGAATCCCACAGTAGTCAGTGACACATATGTAGAAGGTCAGCCAACAGAAATATATGCACACTAATCCTCTCACTAATTCAATGCTCCCCTAGTGTACCACAGAAATCCATTTGAATTCAGTGTGAATATTAGCACTCAGGAACCCATCTAGGAAGTATTATAGGCTTTACTCTAATTGCTTATAAAAGATAAAAGAGCACAAGTATTGTCATATATCTATGTAATCCTATTTTCTTTAACTTTTAATTTTTAAAAACTTAGTAAACCTCTGTTTAACATTAGCTTCACATCACCAATGCAAAAAGAAGTGTTTAAGAAAAGCTAAAACTGTAAATCACACATGATTCTTATTGAAAAGCTATCAAAGTGAGCAATTTTTAAAGTTTTTATGTTTTCCATATTTTAAAAGCTTTTTGCTTCTTTTGTAATTATAGAAATTCCATTGTTATCAGTCTTCTGTTTTTATATAGTATTCCAAACAAAAAGTGCTTGAACATTTATATGTTCATTATCTTCTATGCTTCAATGCATCTGCTGGTATGTTTTATGTTTATATATTTATTGTGGCTCCACAATAAATGCTATCTATACACATTGTTAGTTGGGATAATCCTTATGGTTCACAGCATCAGATGAAACTCCCTAAATGTGTATAGCTTTAATTCTGAATGGCAATTTTTGTTGATAGAGCTTATGTCTTCTTTTAGTTTAAATTGCTTTTCAACTCTATACAGTGCTTTCATTGTTTATTTCTTCTGCTTTTATTTTGTGTAGGTTTAGTTATCCTAAGGAAAGGTAACATCTTTGTTCATTTTTTTATTTTATCAAATGTAAAGAGCTCCTAAACAAATGCTTTCTTAAAATCAAAAAATATTAACATGGCTCACCTAGAAGCATATCCAATTTAGATGATAAAGTTTTAATACAATCCCACTAGGGAGTTTGAATGGTTGTCTCATGGAATAAATAAATTGTGGAAGTATGGTTTTGATTTGTGGATCAAGTCAGTTAAAGATAAATCCCTGGTGTTTCCAAAGTCCTTTTCAAGAACAAAGTTAGGGCCATTTAGTCAAATGAATATTTATAAGCTTCAAAAAAAGGCATCTACTTTTGCTTTCCTGTTAAAGAACATAAATTCATATGCTACTGGTTTCTGAAGGATCTTTTTTGCCAAGGTCTGGGGTAGACTTTTGTTCACATTGTATTTATTGCCTTCTCTGTCTCCTTTGTACTGCAGGAAATCATGAATTAGTGAGCCACAGTTACCAATAACAGTGTGTCAATGGCCTCCTACCTGCCTTGGTGGAGACTCCCTGGGTCTTTTGTCACTAGAAATGTACAGACCTCATAAATAAGTAACAGAAAAAAGATTCAGCCTGTCATCAATTTCATCCACCAACCACAAGGGTAAAACTTGTGTTCATTCATTGCCTCATTTGATACATAGCCATTAGACTCCTACCACATGCCAAGCATGTTCTGTGTGGGGGATACAGTGCTTCACCACACATAGTTCTGTTTTCAAGGAGCTTAAAAACCAGTGAGGGATAGAGATGTAAGCAGACCATTGCAGCTCACTGTTATTCCAGTTATGGTAAGGGACACTGAGGTACAGCAGGGAGAGCTTTACATCTAGTGTCCAGGAGGGACAACCTCTTAGCCTTGAGACCTGAAAGATGAGATGAAATTTTCATGTGAAGGGAGCGGGGGAAGGAGAGCTTTCCTGGCAGAGGGATTGGTCTGTGAAAGATTCAGCAAGGAGGGGATTTAAAGCTCTCTGTGTGGCTGGAACATAGACAAGGAGGGCAGGAAGAAAAGAGCCAGGGCTGGAGAGCTGAGCTGGGGCTGAATGCCACATTTTTGTAAATTATATTAAAGCATTTGAGTTTTTCTCTAGGGATAATGGAGAGCTAGGAGAAAATTTTGAGCTGAAGGCTTTATAAAGATTTTTTTAAAGATGCACTAGGTTGGAGAGTTAGCAAAATGGATCAGGTGGATGTCATTGTAACCAAGGCAATGGATTATGATTGTCCTGAAGAGAGACATGGTACTGGCATTTCTCTTTGTGTGTGGGATTTTGAGGTCACTCAAGAGAGTGGTATCCAAGCTAGGAAAGCTGGACCAATAGTTGGGTTATCTAGGAATTTAAAATAGCACCTCATAGTTGCATAGGTGTTGTGAATTATTTTCAAAGATGAAAAATGAAAGGGGCAAAGGAATGCTGTTCTATTTCTTTTTTGTAAAATATGCATGGCTAGTTTGACTATTACTTGCCTTCTCATCATATAACCTACTATATACTCTTCCAAGTTTCCAGGTTCCTTCGACTTGTTTTTTCTTGTGGACAAATAGACTTACACATATCTGAATCTTTGTCAACATTCATGGTTTCTGACCTTTCTATATTTTTAAGACCATTAGGTATATTAATTACTCAGGGCCCTGGTTTCTGGTACGTTAAATACACTAAATTTATTATAAATTAATACTAAATAATCTAATTTATACTGTTAAATAATGAAATAAACTAAGGTGACACTGACTTCCAGCTAAATATTTCCTACCCAAATAACTTGATATAACAGTGAGCAAGCATCCCATGCATGAGTGTGATTGGGGTCAACCCTGACCTCCTGCTCCCACCAGTAATGTGACCCTGAGGTAAAGTTAGTTAATGCATACTCTACTCTTTTCATTTATAAAATGAGAATACCATGTATGTATGTTGTGAGGTTATTGGGAACATTACATCCGATAAAGTACTAATTATAGAGCTGGTACATATGGTGCTTAGTAAAAATTTATAACTACTGTTGTTGTTCTTATTCAGTTTTAAAATAAGAGCCTTCAAAGATTTCACCCAAAGACTCGAGTAATTTAGGAATTTCAGTCATAATGATAGGATCCATAAATGAGCTCTAGAGGGGACACAGGGTTGATTCCTTAGGAGTGCCTCCATTTTAGCCATTTAAGCTGCTTACTTGCAGAATGTGGATCTAGTCATGTAGCTACACAAATTGATGAACTTGAAGTTCCTCAGGGTAGTGACTGTATCTTGTTCCCCATTGTGTCCCCAGCACCTAACATAAAGTGTGGTACATAACTGTTTGCTTGCCTAACCAATTTTGTTGAATGAGTAAATAATAGAAATATCCTGATGGGAAAACTTCTAGAATCAATCCTGTTTCTTGACACCACAGCTACAAAAGCTTTCCAGTTTACAATATTCATCATCTTAAAAGTGTCTGATAAATTATTAGAATGATCATTAAAGTTTTTTCATTTACATTTGAATACAAGATCATTAGTTTGCTTTTTAAATTTTATGCAGTTCTGACATTATGGTCCACTAAATTCTCACCCTGGAAATACTCCAAGTAGCTTGATATTCAGTTATATAACCCATTTTTAGTCAAAAGATTATTAGTTTGCAAAGGAGCCTCAAATCAGTGATGTCCCTTCTTTTTCTCAGTTTTTCTGAAGTTGTTATTCTAAAAAAAATGGAGTTATTTGAAGAAAGAAAAACAGGACTTAGATAAATGCCAAGTTGGAATTATGTGATTGCAAGGATTTAGAACATGTTTCTGAAGAACACAACCACAAATGCAAGGTTTGAAAATGAAATCAAGAACACTCATGTTGGGTGTGTAAGGCAAGGATTTCCAGTTCAATTTCACCACTGGCCTTGCATTCTATGTAACAATGTGATTTCTTGGAAACTCTTAAAGGAGCTAACAAAGAAAACTCTCTTTTTCCTGTTCACTGATTCTAAAATTCTTTTAAAGCAAGGACACAAGTAAATTGCTATTGACATAAAATGTTTTTCTAGACACAAGCTGGAGAGGCAGAGGAATTGAAGAGTTTTAAAGAGATTTTGGGGGCACTGATCTCTGAGGAGAAGCAGAGGCCATGGAAAAGAGAAATGTGGGAGATCAAAGATGAAAGGCCAAGGAAGGGCCTGTGTGTTAACCTGTCCTTAGAGGAGGCAAGTGGTTTTTCTCAAGTTTATATATCTTTTTGTTTGTATATAATTAAAATGAATGATTAGAAAAATAATGCAGAGTATTATCTTGATCCATTAGAATGAAAAACAGGAAACTTGAGGTTTGGTAACCTGAGAGAGATTTAATGAGAATCAATTAAGTAATTTGTTATAAGAAAGAGTACTTGGAAAATTTCTCCTTAAGTGAAAGAAATATGAAGAATACAATATGGGAGCCAAAAGATGCATCTGGAGGGAAAGGAAAAACGATGAGAAATGGAAAAAATGGAAATAAAGTCTTTGTAAATAGGGAAGGGTGGAGGGGGTGAAGGGAGGGGTAAGAATGGGGAAAAAATAAGAACCAAGATGCATTATGTAAAGGTACAATTCCCAATGAGAAATGTAATTGTGTTGTATACCTAAAATGTATCAATAAAAGAATTTAATAAAATGCAAAAAAAAGATGCATCTGGATATATATATATATATATATCTCACAGGGATTAAGAAATGGTTTTTTTCATTAGAAATCTAGAATAGCAATTGAGTGGTACATTTATGAGTGTTTCTTTAAAATTGATCTCAGGTTCACAATCAGCTGTGGTTATATGTTAATATGAATCCTGCACACACGCACATATACATGTGATTATTAAAGTGCATCTTTCAGTTCTGAGATACGATGCACAAATCATGACACAAAATAAACACGATTCCTAAGTAATGCCTAATAAATAAATTACTTTTATGGCAAAAATGCTAAATGAGTCGCTGGGGATTTAGCTCAGTGGTTCCAGCACCTGCCTTGCAAATGCAAGGTCCCGAGTTCAATCCCTGGTACCAACAAAACAAAACAAAACAAAACAAACAAACCAACAAACCCAAAAATGCTAAATGACATGAAATTTAGGTTTATTTGGGAGCCTTGCCAGACTAGTGAGCTAGCACAGGGATCAGTGACAAGTGCTTACTGGTCTTTCATGTTGCAGAATTGATGACTTCCCAGGCTCATATTCAAAAATACTCCTTGGCTCAGATCGAAATTTTCTGGTATCCACCTTTCTGTCTGGAGGATCCCAGTCATGCCTAGAAATAAATAACAAATCACACATTAAACTAATTCTGTATCCTTAACGTGGCTGCACCATTCCACTCGCTATTTGTTTTCAAAGTTAATTTTGATATAGATTTAAAAACAATCTCTCAGGATAAAAAGTTAGTCTATGAAGAATATCACATTGATGTTTTGTTTTATATAAATGACTTAAGAAGAGCAATTTCTCTTATTTCATATTATATTTTCCTCTATTTTTTCATGTGACTAACTACTGCTGGCTCAAAAACTGACATGATTTTGTTTGTAGACATGCAGACAGTGACTGTTAGTAAAACCCTAGGTCTCTAATTCAGCTGTGTCTGTTTGAGTTTAAAATAAATGGCAGTATGCTCCCTGAAGCTATGAGAGTTTAACCCACCACACTCCATGACCTGGCTTCCTTGATCCAAAGTGACAAGGAGTCATTCACACATCATGTTTGATTTCATTTCCTGTAAGTGGTATCAGAGTTTGCCTGTGAGAAGCACAACAATGTCACTTGGGCTGACATGCACAGGGACAAGCCGAATGCCACTGGAGAGCCCTTTTAGTGTTAGCCTTGAAAAACTGGAGTCCAACATCTGTCTCAGTGCAGTCTGCTCTTTTTCATAAACCAATGTCATTCAGAGGTTGTTGGATTTCACAAGTCATGCTTCAAAGGAGGATTTAGCAAGTCCAAACTTTCCAGGGTGGAAGGCTTTTGTTGGAAAAGGAAGGACTTACTGATTTATTTTTTCAGGAAGATAGATTTTCTGACTTTAGAGTGGGGAAATTTGGATTTTATACAATGGAATGAAATTCTAATTCCAGAGCATGTTGGAAATAGCAGTATTCTAAGAGACAGAATAGGGGAAGTTCTAGTTTTCTACTACACAGATGAGTAGTAGTTGGCAAACCCCTTCAAGTTTTTCAGTCTGATGTTTACCACCTGTGTAAAACACACACAGTAAAATTGTGTCTGTTTTCCCTGCAGAGGAATTTTCAAGGGACCAGCATATTACTTTATGAGGGATTTATTTTTTACTAACATACAGAACAAATAATACATTTAATTCTCAGTTAATTTTGTTCTTTTTGTCAGTAAAGATATTATTTTGTGACTAGACAATTATTCCTCTGTTTTAAGATATCACACATAATTCTTCATGATATTGTTAACAAAATGAGAAATTCTTCACACATGATATGTCTATTTTTGCAGTATCTTGTACTCTACCTGATCATTAATTACTCATAACCTTAAAATATAATTTTTCTGAATGAGTATAATAGATGATTCACAATAATCAGTATTAATAAAGACTAATTTTTATATCCTTATTTACTCATTGTCAGTAAAGGGAGAGAAGGCTTGCATTTAAGCAGAGCTGAGTGTGACTCCTGGCTGGGATAAAATAGCTGTATGAATGGGGAAAATTACTACAATTTCCTTACCTATTTTTTCTCTTTGTAGTAGAGCATATCTCATTGAGATGATCTCAGAATTAATTGATTAATATAGGAAAAGTGTTTAGCTTACTTAGTACTTGGCTTGTAGTGAGCTCTCAATAAAGACTGCCTATTTCTGGGAATATTAGTCATGAACCTAATACAATTACACAGTAGGAATGTGTTCATAATTTTTTATTTGAGTGTGAATAGTTTGTATAAAAATATTTCAGTGGAAAAGTGAAAATTGGAATCAGCTCTGCAAGCTGGTAGAAATGAGTCATGGATAGACACTCATTAACTAAGGCCTGATTTAGGAGTTATGAATAACTTTCTCTGGCTTCAAAAAGATATTTTATTAATACACTAAATACTTTAAATCTCAGGGAAGTGAAAATTAACTGTACAGTCTCTAACCTAGTATACAGCAAAGGAAATTCATTTCACTTATTTCTTTTTTATTTCTTATATGCACATATTGATCAAAAAGTAGATGTGCATATGCAATCTGATGGAAAAAATACAGTGAATACTTAAATTTTAAAAAAGTTATTACAGTAAGAGATACATTGTCATTAATCCCTTCCAAATCCTCCCTCTTGCTTTAGACACACTTATCCTGTCATTCTTGCTACTCTCTGAAGCAGTTCTGAAACTCCACTTTTGTGTCTCTAATTGGATTGTGGCTACCTTAATGTTTTTTCAGTGGTCATTTTGACTTTGGGGAAAAGCCAGAAGTCACACAGTGCCACATCAAGGGGATAAAGACATACTGTTATAAGCCTGCCTTTCTGTTGGATTGGCACTAACCAGCATCATTCATTATGTTTTCTGATCACATTTCACAGTCACACATGAAAGAGGACTTCCAGAACTGCTTCAGACAGTGAAAACAAAAATGGGATATATGTGTTTGAAGTGAGAGGAAGTATTTTGAGGGAAATTAATGACAATGTGTCTTCTACTACAATGGAATTTTAAAATTTAAACAAGCACCATATATTTTGATTATAGTACTTCGGATTTAATTTAGGGCACTGTGATGGCATGATCCAAGACTGTGACACTGTTTGCTGCAATCCCAGTAGAGGGAGTCAAGAAGTATGTGTATGGACTAAAAGCATTGTGCATATGTTCTCTCTGCGCAGACTCTTCTACTGATTGTTATGTGGCTTTATTTTTACCCTGAGTGAACTACAGACCACTTCGGGGGAGAATGCCTTACTTTTCTGTTGAAGATCGATCTCTTGGTCTTGGGGGAACATGTGGGGGAGGCACTGGGGAGGAAGCTTCCTTAAAGGCATCGGTGCCATTGTCAGAGTGGCTCTTGGAGAGAGGTCTGTATGTCTGGGTCTTTGCAGCTGGATGTGACTGAGCACTGTATGGTGCGTTGTACAAACCTGTCATGAAAAAAACAAAAGAAGCAAATAATATTTTAAAAGTGCATTAAGTTGTCTGTATAATTCAAAATATCCAATGATTTTGCCAAAATTATTATCAGTAAGCATATTCATATTGCATATATTAGGTGGCATATTGTTTATTAATTTATTAAGAATATCAATTTACTCATCATTATTTATGAATTAATTATTAATTTATTCTGCACCCAAGCATTGATTACAGTAAATCATCAACAATTATTTTGGTATTAGTATCAAGTCAAACCATTAGTAAGAATAAACTCAGAAGAATTCAGCAAATTTTTTCCTGGATTATGAGACATTGGATTGGTCAGAGAAGATAATATGAAACCCATGCCCAAAAGGATTAATTTTGGTGGATGGAAGATATTAGCAGGGATAGCATAGAGGAGGAAAAAGCATAAAAAAAGCAAGACATAAAGTAGTAGGGTGTTGGGTTAAAAGGGAAGAGACTGAAACTTGTAGATCTCTGCAGGGCAATATGTAAGTGACTCTCATTTCACTAATTATAATTGGACACAGACTTCATTATTTAAAAAAGTATTAAAATTCTGAATTTTCCTCACCTTATAACTTTTGTGCTACATCTATTTGTGTTCATCTGCTTCTGAAGGCCCAAGCCAATTTCCATGACAAATGAAAAGAAACAATGTCTTTGCCTATAGTTTTTGCCTCAATTCTATAGTCATCTTTTAGCTTTTGAGTTAAGTAAAGGAGGTGAATTTGGTGTACGTGTGACCATTAGGAAAAGTAGAAAGGAATATCTTAATGGGTATTATGGAGCCAGGACCTAAAATCAAAGGTGTGATAGCTTTCTAAGATTATTTTACTCACTTTTCCTCTATTTGACATTTGAGATGAGTAGAAAATCTCTAACAGTTAAAGCCCTGCGTGCAGGCATCATGGAGGGGATGGCATCATGCCATTCTGCTGCCAGGCTTGCCAGAGCATCTCTACATTAGGGCTTAGCTGATGAAGGGATAACTGTAGTAGTCACTTGAGGCCGGGCAGTAGAAGGAGGCCCTGAGTGAATCTCCCACTTAGGAAAAAGCAACGAAGGGGAACATTTTTTAGGGATCCTACACTCCAGCCCTAAGACCACTGCATAAGATGCCAACACCCTCGAATATAAGTATAAATGTCCAGGATTGAAATTATTAAATTATGCTCATTTGCAACTTTGAATTAGAAAAGTGGCCCAGCCTAATGAGATTTTTAAAATCTTTCATTAAATGGTTGCATACGCAAGCAAAAGCCTGGAGAAGGTCACAAAATGCTTTTGCTTGACTTGTTTTGGGGAAATGTGTCTGAAAGATCTTACGCAAGTGTAACCACTCTCTCTGCTGATTACAGAAGATTATTATCTTATGGGGTCACACTATGTCCCTTTACACTGTCCTTCACTCTTTGGTTAAACATTCTTGAAGCTGAGAATAAACTAACAGTGTGTGTGTGGGGGGGGGGATGAGATAAAACAGTATCAGTTCTCATTCCATGAGAAAGGATCAGTGTTTTTGTTATGCATACTCTGAGAAAAGATAGCATCCTCTTAATTATAGGAACTGACAAGGTATGGCCAAACAAAGGGGTGAAACAAGAAATCGTGTAGTTCTTCCCAACATTGCCAAGCACAAGATAGTCATTGCAAGCAAGGAAAGCCATCCTACCTGCATTATATGTGTAAGGAGTATTATACATGTCTGTATCATCATCTAGAAAATGAAACATAAATATTATGGTAATACAGCTTCCATGACTCTCACATGATAGCAGAACTTCAGTGAAACAACACAAATTTGCTAGAAAAAGCAATTCATTTTTCCTAGTTCATAATACCACTTTCTATTTCCAAATACTGCTTTTTGGTGGGCCTCTGCAGACTGACTTTTGTTATCTTGCTGCTTGCTTTCTTCACAGCATGCAGTTGGTCCCTTGTCCTCATTTGCACAGGCAGCCATCTTTCTGGGTCATGATTTTCCTTTAGCAAGTGCTTTAAAGATCTTCTGTCGATTGCACTGAGCATACTCAGCCAGATCTACCAGTGCTCACTGTGTTAATAAGGAGCAGATAGAGTAGACAGAGGAACAAGGAGTCTGTTGAAGCAGACAACATACCAGTGTAGGTGTGGGTGGGGAAGGACAGAAGGGTAGGACCAGAAGACCTGGCAGTCCTCCAGGGGCACTTCCTGAGAGGCAGCTTGGGGCCAGGCAGAGGCACAGATCTGTGACTTGAGGGGAGATATAAGGAGAACAGAGGGATGTTGAAAAGAATGAGGCAGAGAACGAAGTTTGTTGGGGTCTTGACATTTTTGTGTGAATAAGAACTATATGAAAGAGGTGTAAGCATCATTCAGCCTACAAAGGCCTGGTCAGAAAGCAGAACAATGTACACACCTGGCTTGTGCACCATGTGAATTTGCTTAAACATTGTCTTGTACCAGTCCTTGGGCCGGTCAACTGTCTGCAAAAGAGAATGTCCAAAAATTACAAAACTGATTTTAGGTCATCATTGCTCTTCAATGTTTTTCCTGACTTATATTTAATCTTTTTTATAGCAGATGTTTTCAGTGATAAAATTTCCAGATTCTGTGCTATTATTTGAAGGCAATTTTAGTAATTTATCCAGTTAGATGTGCAGTAAAATATAAATATATTACCTCATGTTCCAGTTTGGGCTGAAACAGAACATTTGATGCTATGGTTTTACTTGGTAAAATTATAGCTGTGGCCAGCACTAGACAATAGATACCAGCACATATACACTTATATATAAAAAAAAGTCCATGAATAAAAGTTATTGTTGCAAAGGTTTGCTTAATTTCTTTTGGGTATCATTATTCTTAAAAACTTTTTTTGAATGTTCTATCAAGACATTATTTTTGGTATTAACTAGGGAATATTTTTTACTCACACTATATTTTGATCAGCTTAGGTTAAGAGAAATAAATTTGATATATACTGTTCTAAATTACTAAAATATTAAATATAGTAGATAATCTAGAGTCCCAGAGCAATCTAAATATGTAGATATTGATCCAAGATTCCCTTAACTGGAAAATGAGCTGTATGCCACTTCTGTCTTGATAAATTCTTAGGCCTTGGAGAGAAGATCCTTATGCATCTTGGCCTTTGGACATGACAAAAAGATACAGTGGCAAGATGAAATTAATGTTCAATCTTGAATCAAGAGTCAAATTACTGTTTAATACTTCCTAGCAATATGAATCTGGGAAAATTCTATAAACTTTTTGAGCCCTAATTTTCTCCTCTCTCAATGAAATAATGATATCGGCATCACAGGGTTATTGTGGAAATTGAATGAGATAATGTATACAGAAAGGCCTAGAATATAATAAATGGTCAATAAATATAAGCTGTAAAAAAACTTAAATATTTCTCAAATATTTGTAGAATAAAATATTGACTAAATCTAGCTTATTGGATGTAAGTTCAACATTATTGTACACCTGTACAGCACAGAAGGACCTAACACTCTCTGAAAGGTACTTTTATTCTGCAGCTGTCCCCAAAGCCTTGCAGCTATCCTGGCCGCATCAGGCACATCACAGCCACTCTGAGAATTGTTTTAGCTGCAGCAGGCTTCATTCATGGACCTATCCCAGAGGATGCTCTCCTGGAGCCTCTCTGCATGATTCTGCCCCTTGCAGCCTCCATCACTCAGGCCTGCCCAGAAAGTGTGACAATGCGCATGTGCATTTTTTCCTTTATAAGCAACCCCATTCCCTTAGAAGGCTCAGTGCAGTGTGCTATCCCCCCTTATGATTCAGCATAAGTCCTAATAAAGCTTCTTCCAGGCTGAACTCATACATAAGGTGCTTGTAATATCAAAGGTCCTGGCACTAAAAGCCTCTGGCAGTCAGGGCTGATAACACTAAAGGCCACTGATGCTGAAAGTTTTTAGTAGTCAGGCACAAGCAGCAGAGAACAATGGAGAACAATGAAGAGTCACCACCTTTAGTGGTAGGAAGAGTTCCCACAGTCTGCTGGTGGCTGCTGGCTCCAAGTGGCCAGGAGGACAACTAACACTAAAGGAGCCCGTATCACTGCCAGTCAAACACCAACAGGGTGAGGACATGAAAACAGTTACACTGAACCCTCAGCTGCTTGGTAGCATCTCGGTGTGGGTAACTTTCCTGTTAGAGGCCCCAAGGATGCACAACAATGGCAGTTGTCAACTGGCTTAAGAACCAGTGAAGATTTGGTTGCCATCTTACATGGGGCTAAAGACTCACTCTAGCTAGTGGCAAAAGTAGACATACACCTTTATAACTGTAATTAAACATTTTGGTTGGCAAGATCTTTATCTCAGCTCTTTCAGAGCTATTCAGGCAAGAACCTCATTCTCTGTAATTAAATACAAAGGCTCATCAGAAAGTATGGTGTATATTTAAATTTAAAAAATTACGTGTCTTTATGGGGCGTGACTAAAAATATGGTGAATCCTGCTGCTAAGTGCCATGCAATAGATAGACAGACTTGTAAAAATATTGCAGTGTGTCCTCATCTACCTTATTAACTATATCTGGCACTGTTCAACTTTTAGGTCTTCCCCAAAGTCAAAATGATGATGAAAGGTAAATGTTTTGGATCAAATCAGGACATTGAGGCAGCCAGGACAGTGCAATGAAAGACATTCATGAAAGCAGACTTCCAGAACTGCTTCCGAAAGTGGCAAGGAGCAATGGCCTAAGCTGTGTGCAAAGCAAGGGGGAATATATGGAGGCAGATTAATGGCAATGTGTCTTTTACTGTAATAATATTTTTATTTAAACACACAGTATTTTTCAGTTAGGCCTTGTAAAATTTCCAGACCAATCTCTAGATTTAAAAAATTTGGTAAGTCTGCTATAAAATATTCTTGTACTTGTTAGACTAAGTGTTGGTTGGGATTTTATATCCTGGCTTTTCTTTCAGAAATGGGGTCATTGCATTTTTCATTTGGAAAATGAAGGTCTTGTGCTAAATTTATTTTGATCTCTGAGAACAGACAATTCTGGCAATCGCCACAAATATAGATTAAACTCAAAGGCTACTTTGTTATGAATCACCTCTGGATTCTAGACTCTATAATGAAAAATTGAAGGGATTGTTGATTGACTGTATAGTCCAGTGATAGGGAGCTGGTAGTAAGGAGTGTAAAGATGAAGCAGGGGTCTTTTTTTGTTGTTTCAAAAAAAATAGCAGAAATCTATTTTTTCATTAAAAAATTTTTTTTCAGTGCTGGAAATTGATCCCAGGTTATCATGCATACTAGGCAACTGCTCTACCACTGAGCTACATCCTCAGCCCACCATGTATTATTTTCATAAAAGACTGATTTCTCTTTCATTAAGCTTTATTTTTTATGGTACTCAAGCAAGCAAAAATAAGATATAACTTTGTGAAAAAAATGTGTTCTGCCCTTATCTGGACACAACCAGCAATAACAAGGAATCTTAAAAAGTAAGTTATAACACTGCTTATGGAGATGCATTTTACAGACAGAATTTTTCCTTTGCTTGCTGGAGGGCCTCTATCAGGCAGGACCTCACAGTTATGCCATTTACTAGCTTTATATGGTCAGCACAGAGATGCCAGGAAATGCCCAGTCAGTCAATTGGCAAAGGAGAATATGAGACTGGTAAGACAGGAATACTGAGACTCAATGTCCCTTTCTAAAAGCAGTACTGTAATCATTTAAAGTTCCTTTTATAAATGCCATCACAGAGATTGTTACGCCCAATATTGAGATTATGAAAATAGAAGCCTATTCAAATTTGAGGAAATTTACTCTTAGATGTGTTCTTCAAATACATTTTATTTTGCATGAAATAATGGCTAGGACTTCATTATACAGTTATAACCTTGGCTAAATAGACTTCAGTTTTTACATCTATACAGTTTATGAGACATTAGAGCTCCATACTGACTTGACATGCAGAGATTTCCAAAAAGAAAAGAGACATTTTCTACATGTAAGTAGTGATTTTGCTCTATTTTTGCCCCTTTCTGGCTTTGAAAACTGTCAAGCAAGTGTTATATTTGAATTACAAGAAAGAAGAAAAGAATCTTGAATGTCAGGTAACTAGGTTTTAATTACACAGTCTCATGGGATCTGAGCCCGAGTGATTTTGGTTGTTGTTTTTAAGAATGGCAATAAAAGGCTAACATAGACATCTCAGGTCACTTGAGAGAGGGTGACCTGGAGCTACTTTCCTTCACTAAAAGGACTCAAAAGTGGTATGTATTGATACTTGACTTTCTGGAATTTGTAGACTATTTAAAAAATTCTGTTGCTTGGTCATTTAAGATGCTACCATTGCATGGTACATTGGGGTAGTGCTGACTTTGGAGGATGCACGAAGGGGAAAGTTAATGTGAAACAGTTTGAGTGTGAGTGTGATAATCATTGCTTTCTTTATGGATGAGGAACAAAAACAACCTCGGAGATTCTTGGTCTGCTATGGCTCAGAGATGCCTGACTCACATTTATAAACACAGCTATACTTGGGGATGTCCTCTTTAGGACTGCAAAGTAGTAAACATGAGTAAGAGAAGACTTTCCACAGATCTGTACCTTCTTTGTAAAGCATGATTGTGCATAAAAATTATGGTTCCTTATAAGGCACATCTGTGTTGCTTATTTTAAAGAAGGGAAATTAGCATATCATTTTTAGTTTATGTGTTTTCTTATGCATATCTAGGCAGGCTTTTGATTTGGCAGTTGAAAAGCAATGTAAAAACTGATATTACTTGATTTTTATAAACCATTTCCAACATCTCGGTTTTTCTCTTTAAAAACTAACAAAACAAGAAATTGTCAGTTAAAAATTATATACTATAGATAAAAAGAATGCATCTGGTTTGCATGTCCATCCTTTATATCATCTATTGACTTAAAAATATACCCAGAGGTTTCAGATAAAATCTTTTCAGACAGAATCTATAACTAGATAGCAAGCAAAGATTTCCTAGTTTGAGTATGCACCATGCCTTAAGGGTTAATTAAGCAAAACTTATTGGCATTCTGTTGGTATCCCTAAATTATTGTAGAAAAATTCGAATTTAACCGTTTTGAGCCAGAATTTCTAAAAGGAAGACAAATGACAAAACACCATCACCAAAAACATATAATCATCAAAAGACTGAGAATATTACCCTTGAACTTTTTCTGTCATTTAAATATGACAATCATCAGTTCCAACACAGATTTTTAGGACTTTATAATTAGTCATATTCAACATTCTTTAACAAGTCTAAAACTCAATGCCTGCTATATTGGTTTACTTTGGGGATTTAACTATAAAGCGAAAGCTTAGCATAACAAACATATCTCTCCCTCTCTTTCTCTGTGCCTCTGTATATAAAACATGTAATCCTCACATAAAAAATAAAAATTCCAAAAGGGAAGGACCCCTCCCCAACACACAGACACACACAGACACACACACACACACACACACACATACACACACACACACTTTGCCTTTAGTTCTTTTCCAGTGTTCTCGATCTGACCACTGCTTTCCTCCGTATCTCCCCCATTCTTTTCCCCTATCCATTATCTTCCCGGCTCCCCAGGTCTGCATTCCAGGGAAGCTGCTCTTGGCAATACCCCAGCCCCTTCTGTGGGTACAACAGGCAGAGTGTATGCAGCGGGAGCTCCCTTCTCACACCTCCCCTGCATTTCACCTGCAGAGACGCTGTGCCTCTCATCCTGCTTTCCTGTCTTCCTTCTCTGGCTACCGTAGCACAAACCTCTTCTTCAAGTGGACTTGGTCGGCAGCAGCTTCCTGCTGCGCTCCCTGCTGCCTGTGCTGCTGCTGCACTTCACCAGAAGGGGCTGCCCCGACACACTGAGCAATGCTTTGGCAGAGCTTAAAGACTGAAAAAAAAAAAGCTCAACACTTTCATTTATCATCCCTGGAGAGTTCTCAGCAGAACCAACTGAAGAGGGACACTGAAATGTGTATTTGTCCTCAGACAGTTTTTCCTTTCCTTGACATTAACTCCCTTCACTCCAGTCATCTCACCTCCCAGCTCCCAGTTCAAGGCTCCCAATCTCTTGGTGTTAACACACATCCATTTCAAGAAACAAATCACTGCTTTGTTTGCAATGCATGTGGGAATTCCATGTAGCCTAAGAATTTACAGGTTTTTTTTTTTTTTTTTTGGTTGTTGTTTCTTGTCTTTTCTCTCTATGGCTCTACCTCTCCTTGACAAAAGATAAAACAAAACAAAAAGTTTTGTCATTTAATAGAATCACAATTTTCATGATTTTTAAAATTGAAAGGGAAAAACAGATTGTGCTGTTCTCTTCGCTGGACAGTCCTCTTTCTCTGCCACACAGTGTAATGTTCATGAGAACTCAGTGGCTCAGAGGGCAATCCTCATTATATAAGGCCCCAGGAATGCACAAAGCCATGCACAATCCATCCTTTGTGGAGTCTGTGCCAGACCCAGGCAGACGCACACGCTGGCATTTCTTACCGTTCTAATTGCTGTAGGGATTCCAGATTCGTCTACAGGCCCAATTCCTGGGTAATGCGGGGCTTTGATGACTGTCACCCTCTTCTCTTCCTCAGAGGATCTGTACAGTGGTATTGAGCTGCCTGTGGTGCCATCCAGAGACTGAGCATGCTGGGAATATGTCTCTGAGGAATCTGTGGAGAATATTTGGTGAAATATAACATGTAGTATCAGATCCACAAAGAAACATAAGTTAATGGTTCCTCTTGTACATGTGTACCACCTGTAACATAGAGTCCATATTTCCATAACCATGTCTTTTGGCTCATTTATTTTATTTTATTTGATACCAGGGATCGAACTCAGGATCTGGCACTTGTGAGGCAGGCAGCAGAACCACTGAGCTAAATCCCTGGCCCTTGGCTCATTTATTTTATATCTGAGTCACTGTGTCATGGATATTGGGTAGATGTGTATTACACAGGCCTATAACAGTGAAGACCTCACCACCTTATGAGGAATGGTGAGGGGAAGAATACCTGCTGAATGAGTGTGCCAGCCACTGTTGCTTAACCACTTGACAGGTGTTACTTCATCTTTCCCTTCTGGGAATCTTTTAGGCAGGTGGGTTGGGGGCAAGAATCAATTTTAAAGGTGAGGGAGCAGAAGCTGAGAAAAGTGTAGTAATTTCCCTCAGTCCATATTTAACATAAATATTAGTCTTGAGATACTGCTGGCTACCATTATTTACAAGTATTGAAATGTATGTTTAGACAAAAGATATGGCAGGTGAGCGAATAACAGTAATTTCATAAAAATAAAGTGAAATCAAAATAACTAAAAAATTTTATACCCACACATATGCTTGGATGTAATGACTTATGTGGGTCAATAAATACTTCTAAATTGTTAGTATTGATTAAATATTATTTAAATACCCTACATGGCTAAAATACCAAAGCCATTATTGTTTGTCCTTGGAGGATAACAATTGTCCTAAGGATATAAATTAGATGAGATTTATCAAGTTTCTATGTGCATGTTGTCTTTATTAACTTCTAATCACTTTTAGAAGCACCAGAGAATACATACATGTACTATATATTCCACTTACCCTGAGTCGAAAGTACTTTTGAAAAGCAAAATGATTTCCATTCACCTGATACGATTACTAATATAACTTTCTGTTTTTCTGTCATTAGTATCAGGGTTTTGGTGACCAATAATGACACTTTGTTTATATTATTTGTGCTATGCTTTGGTAGATCTGACACTCAGAAAGTTCTTTTACATAGAAATGGAACTGTCTCTATGTCTCAAGGTAGGATTCATTGTTATCAATATACACGTGTGTGGGGATACACACATATATGAATATATACATATGACATAGAAAATATATTTTTCTTGAAAATTTTGAATAAAACATTATAAGTAGTCATTTAAAAAAATGTAACTCATCTTTATAAGGGTAATTAGAGTATAAGTCTGTCTAAGGTAAAATCCATTAAAATGTTTATAATTGCTATTGCTGCTACTATGGTCACTTTTAATGTATTTTGTAACAGAAAATAATTTTCAGTATATTTTTGAAAATGGACAAAGCTAAGAAAACTGCTTAGTTGTATGCCATTGGCCATAAAGTCATGTCTTTTTAAAGCTACTTCAAATTAAGAGACAATGCAATATTGGATTCTGATTGACTGTTTAATTCCACAAAGGACTGGAGAGGGCAACTATATGATAGTATTTCTATAAGCCACAAATGTCTTTTTAAACACCTAGTATGCACAAAGTTTCAGCCTAAACAAACTGTATCATTCTTTATGTGGATTCACAAGACTGTATAAACCTGTAGGTCAGGCAATGGAAGTTAGCCCTTTATTTTATTACTTTCTTATACAGTCTTATGTTTGCTAACTTTTATCCTCAACTAAATGCAATGTTTACCTAGGGCAGAGTAGACTTGCAAATTCTTGTAAATTCTGCTTCTATCACAATAATGGCTAATTGAAATTTGTTCAACATTTATAATGGGAATTTCTTTCTATGTAGTGTAGTTTATATTTAAAATGTACCCATTAGATCAGCACGCTGCAGACAGGCAGCCACCTGGTTCCACACTACAAAGACACAGAGGACACCAGAACACCAGACCAAGGTACTGAGTCCCGCTGCTCCTGGCCCAGAGGTAGGGGCTTCTGAGCTGCCGTCCCACTGCTCCTGGTCCAGAGGAAGGGGTTTCCTGGTCACCATCCCTCCCACTGCTCCCAGCCCAGAGGAAAGGGCTTTTGGGCCACCTTCTGTCCCACTGCTCCTGGCACAGAGGAGGGGCTTCTGGGCCACCATCCCTCCCACTGCTCCCAGCCCAGAGGAAAGGGCTTTTGGGCCACCTTCTGTCCCACTGCTCCTGGCCCAGAGGAAGGGGCTTGCGGGCCACCATCCCTCCCACCGCTCCCGGCCCAGAGGTAGGGGCTTTGGAGCCACCATCCCACTGCTCCTGGTCCAGAGGAAGGGGCTTCCTGGCCACCATCCCTCCCGCTGCTCCCAACCCACCGGAAAGGGCTTTTGGGTCACCATCCCTACCGCTGCTCATGGCCCCTGTCCCACCTCTCCCATCTCAGAGGAGGTAATCCGTGCAGGCGCTAACAGCCCCACACCCCAGTCAAAATGAGAAAACAAATAAAGAAGTCTCAAAACCAGACTTCCAGATCACCTACAGCAACCCCAAAGGGAAATGAGATGGAACACTCTGATACTCAAC